GCGCGGTGGTTCGGGGAAATCATCTGCTGCTCGCACAAACGGAGGAAAAATGAAAATCCCTCCCAAAGGGATCACAGCTCAAAGACATTTCGCGAGAGATCGCAGGGCCTGATGGTCCGTCTCCGAGGCTGGCGGGCTGGGGAGGTGGACTGATAGTGGGGCGGTCGCGTTCTATTAATGTTGGCTTTTCCCCCCCCCCCCTTTTCTCTCTCTCTCTCTCTCTCTCTCTCTCTCTCTCTCTCTCTCTCTCTCTCTCCCGTTTTCTACCCGACCCACAAGTACTGACATTTCGCAGGGCCGGCCTCAATCTACATGAGGCGACAATCGACACATCGATCAACTCGTCTAAACGCACCGAACGACATCGAGGCCGTAATCAAGGCCAGGCCGCGCGCCTCGCCAACACGCTGACTGTGAGGTGCAGAGAAGACATCGACGCGACTGGAGACACGCAGTGCAGCCAAAGTTGGCGAACACGCGGTGTTCATCCGAGTTGGCGCTGAGTTGGCTGGCCTAGTCGCCGAAACTTTTGGACCACCCGCACGGCTAGGCGCGTCTCAAATCCGCCCTTTCATCGAGCCAATATCTTTTCGCTAGATCGTTGGCAGCTCACCTCTGTGCGTGACGTGAGGCCCGCGAGCCAGGCAGGCGGTCGGGCATAAAAAGAAGGTGGCGGCGCGGGCCACCCCACCGGCATGCAGTGGCATGCAGTGGCAAGCAGTGGCCTGCGCAGGGAGGAGGCTGGGGCGGCACGACCCCCTCTTTTGGCACTAGGCAGGCGCCTCAAAGGTTTTCAAATTACGATGCATCCCGCCAGGAGGTGGGTAAAAGGCCTGGCTTGACCCGCTTCTTTCTAAACTTGTACCAGGTGTTTCAGAAACCCCGTAGAAGTTTGAAGGTATGCAACCCGCTCGCCGTCGTGCGGGCGGGCTTGCCTACGCGCTGGTCGGCGGGCGCCGGAGCGATCATGGGTTGCCACTCGTCCACTAGTGCAGCTGGGTGACGTCCCCCTTCCCCTTACCGCTCCGGTTGCGCTCGGCTTGCCCGGTCAACTGTCACAGGTGGCGCTAGCGTCGTCTGTCGGCCGCCAATCAAACCATCTAGAAAGATGTCGCTAAATTCGCAAACATTCGCCTATCGGTGGTTCGCCGGCTAGCGACATCATCCGAGATGGTTTGATTGGCGGCCGATAGACGACGTTAGCGCCACCTGTGACAGTTGACCGGGCAAGCCGAGCGCAACCGGAGCGGCGAGGGGAAGGGGGACGTCACCCAGCTGCACTAGTGGACGAGTGGCAGCCCATGATCGCTCCGGCGCCCGCCGACCAGCGCGTAGGCAAGCCCGCCCGCACGACGGCGAGCGGGTTGCATACCTTCAAACTTCTACGGGGTTTCTGAAACACCTGGTACGCATGCCACTGCCGGCGTGGCAGCTTGGCGGCGTGGGGCAATGCACACCTCATGTTGGGCTCCGCCATGCTCCGCTCCGCTTCGGACACCCGCTCGGACGCTCCGAGGTGGCGGCCTGCGAGTCGTTTTCGCCGCACTGTCTCTATCGCACCTACACGGGGCACCCAAGAGAGGGAGAGAGACAGAGCGATGAGTCTCCTGCAGCCGCTCCGCTGCCGAGCCTTGGCGGAGCGCTGGCCGGGCCGGGCCGCCGCGGACCCGTCGGACTGCACAACGTTTACGATCACACCGCCGCGCCGACGCGCCAATTTTCTTCCTTTCAAGTTGCAAGCGCGAGTACTGACAGGTTCTACGGAAGAGTAACTTGGTTCCGAAATTTACAGCGCCGCCGGCGACGCGAGGCCGCGCGAGGCTCCTCAAAGCAACTTCGTGGTGACGTTTAGACTACGGCTTTGCAAGCGATTCGAAATTGCTTGCATGGAACGGCAAGAGTCGGGAAGAGTGGTCGTTGCCTACCTGTTTGACGGTGTAGGGTGGCGGTCGCGGCGCGCGCAGGCTCTGGCTCCTCACGGGTGGCACTCGCGGTCGCGGGGCCGCTGCTGCCGGCGAGGAGGGCCCGGAGGCCCACTGCTGCAGGCCCTGCAGGCCGTCGTCTTGGTGGTACGACCGCCGCCGCCGCTGCCTGTTCTCCAGGTACTGCTTCTCGTCGAACTGGTCCGGCAGGTGGGGCGGCGGCGGCAGCGGGTCGTCGCGGAGGTGCAGCGGCCTCCGCGCCCCGGCCGGCGATGCCCTCCGCAGCCCGGGCCGGCCGTCGAGGGGCGGCCAGGGCTTGCAGTAGTACACGTCGTTGCGCTGCGGCGTTGTCCTGGGCGGAGGGGTGGGGGGCCGCCGCCGCGGCAGGTCCACGTCCACGACCACGTCGTCGTCGGCTACCTCCAGCCCCGGCACGGCGTCCAGGATGTTGCTGAGGCTGGGGGCGTCCTCCTCCTCGTCCGGGGCCTGCAGCAGCAGCGGCAGCGACGCGGCGGCGGACAGGCGCCCCGAGGCCAGCCTCGCCACCCTGCCGCCACCATGGCCCCCGTGCAGGAGGCGGCCGCCGCCCGAGCCCGGGGGGCGCCGGTACACCACCGTCGGCGGGCCGGGCCCGCGCGGAGGCACGGCGGGTCGCGCGTCCACCATCGTGTCCACCATGGCGTCAACTGGATGGCCGGAGGGGGCATGCCGGGCCACGCTGCCCTCGCGTTACATTCCTGGAAGCAGCAAGAGGCACGTTCCGTCAAAACCGAGGAGGGAGGTGTCGCCAGGAATGCGGGCGATGTGTGCACAAGACGGGGCGCAGACCCAATTCGATATAGACCGTGCCAATCACGGCACCGCGGGGTGCTTCGCTCTCTCATGGACAGAAACATTCGCGCGCCCGAGGTACCAAGCGGATTTCCAATTACACGACGTATCTCATTCCACGAACGTTAATGAAAGCAGATGATACTCGTTTGGTTTTCTTCTACGGGGTAATATGGGCTCATTCCAAAGATAGTATTTAAAATTTTGTATGAAAAATAGTATCTAAAATTGTGTATCAAATAAAATACATAGACCAATTAACTATATAGACCCGAGCGAGCTGACCGGTCTTGGTGCTAGCCGTGCCGAGCTGTGGCCGGCACCCGCCGCGACCCGAGGGCGCCGAGCCGGGCCGAACTCGGAGGCATTGTTGCATTTTTCCGCGCAGCTGCGGCGCGGGCCCAGACCGGCCAGACTCACGCATCGTCCCGCCCCGTCGAGGGGTTACCTACTCCGGGAATCGTGTGTGCACTCAGTCCGGGAATCGTTCGTAATTTGCTCAAAATTTCATCGAAAATCTTTAAAAAATTTAATGGAGAGGGATATGTAAAGACACAAAACCCCTCAAATGAAAAAAAATTTAAAACCTCTCCTTTTATGCAAGATTTGTTCAGGAATCGTGGGAATCCGGAAACGTGTGTACGCCCAAATACCGAGTGGGTAACCCCTCGCGCCCCGTCCTGGTACCATTCTGAGAGTACAAGCTAGCTGACACCTTAAAGTGTCCTGTATTCCTGTATTATGTTGAGTTGAATGTGTAAAGGTATCATCTGCTAAAAAGATTCTGTCTGTTTCGGCCTCCAGATCGGATTTTCGTAAAATAGTTAGAAAGAACAATGTGTGTGCCGGGCCGGCACTGCCGGCGCGGATCCAGAGCCGGGGGGAGGGGGGAGGGGGGGGGGGGGGGTCGCAAAAGTTAAAGGGAGGACATCTGTAGTTCACCGGAGGCAAGGGAAACTGCGACATAAAAGGCAAATCCTGAAATCCTGGGAACGCGCCTGGGCCCCGGCCGCCACCGCCGCCTTGAAATCACAAACCGGAAGTCGGTAACTCGCTATCGGCAGCGCTCCTTTGTTTCCCGCAGTGAGTCCCCCCCCCCCCCCCCTCTCTACCCGGGGCCTCGCGACCCGTTCCGAAGGAAAGTAGTCCGATCGGCCGCGTCCGGGATTCCGGTGCAGTTATGTGCCTGCTACGGCAGTCTCGATTCGAGGCACGCGGACAAACACACACACACA